TTGCAGTCTGAGGAAGGAAAAAGACTGTTATTCTGATGATCTCCCACTGCATTCAACTGAATGTCCTCTCACTCTCCACCAGAGCCCCCTGGGATGCCAATGAAAAGAATGTGAAAAAGAGGTAGTGTTTGCAGTCTGAGGAAGGAAAAAGACTGTTATTCTGATGATCTCCCACTGCATTCAACTGAACGTCCTCTCACTCTCCACCAGAGCCCCCTGGGATGCCAATGAAAAGAATGTGAAAAAGAGGTAGTAAGATGCATGGAATACCCACTTATTTATACCCTGACAGAGTTTCCCTGAGCACCAAGATCCTGGACACTTGGGTTAGTGCTTATTCCCATAAGTGTTCTAGAATTCTATGTGCCAGCCACAATTATAGACTTCAGAAACAGTGACACCCCAGTGAAGCTTGGAAAGGCCCTCAGAATAGTTGCCCAGGCTCACACCATATAAATGCAGACCTGCAGATATGGGAATTCATCAGGACTGAATCTCAAGAGCTTGTGGCCTTTTACTATCATCCTAACTTTTTAGAAATATGTGTTAGGTATTTGTAAGGTGTGAAAAAATCTGCAGAGCCAATGCTGAGGGAGGGCAGGACTTGTAGAATAGGAAATTAATACCAATCTTTTTCTTCACTTCCCTGGGTAAGGCATCTCAAGAAATTATCCACATACACTCGTATCTGCAGGATGTTAGCACTTGTATGCAGCTGTCTTAGATTTTTTTGTTTCTCTTTGTTGTGATAAGGACTTAGGATCTCTGGACCTCTGAATATATGGAGGTTAAGATAGAGGTGGCGAGACTGGTGGGTCAGCAAGCTATTTTCAACCATTCAAATGCTAATAGGAATTAGTGAAAGCCACACAGGCTAATGGAAATTAGTGTTTTCTTTGCTCTCAACTAAAATATTATTTCAGTATGGTAAAACTGATTATTCAGCATGGAACTGAGGTCCTTATTGGGAACTATACAACTCTTTGATTAATAAAAAAATAAAGAATAAATTATTTAACACCTGCAATTTGGGAGACAAAAATATTCCAAAACAGAGTTCCATGGAGAATAAAAGAGACAGTAAAGTTAGGAATTCCTGGGCTGGAGTGTCCAAGAAGGCACAGGGCCAGTACTGACCCTTATGGGTGGGGGAGCAGCTGCCCAGACAAGCCTGCCTTTCTCTAAACTGTGCACAATCAACTGGCCATGTTCTCTACATTGCATTGCTTCGATGGGACTGGAACCTTCCCATTCTCCAGGAAAAGCTCCATAGGTGGCGTGGGCGTGGGGGTGGGGGTTGCTGCTGCTTTTCTGTTTTTTTAATGGAAGCAATGAATGGACACAAGTTGACAAAGTTTTAAGTAGAAGAACTGATGAGAAATATTTATTGATGAATGATACTGCAGAATTGTCAGCTTAAGGAGAAAAGTCCTGAGAATGTGCATTACTATCCTGCAGTGGTACACGGCAACCAATCAGAGAAAAAGTAGGAGATGACAAGCACCTCTATGGGTCTGGCTGACTTTGCCTAGAACCAGGGCACTGGTTTGTGCCTCAGCTCATTAGCAGATCCCCAAAGCTTTTACCTTCTGTCTGCCTGACGTTCAGTGCCTACCAATTTTTCCTGTTCAGTTGGCTTCCCCTGTCCTTCGCTGTCCCTAGACTGCCTATACCCAAGCATGACCCATGAGATGAAGATTGGAAGAAGCAAATAAAATCCAGAAGTGGAGCTTAACGATGCCACTAAAACCTGGGATAAAGCAGAAAGGAAGCCGAACTGCTATAGGGCTTGTCATGTTGTTCCCAAATAGGCCAGATCATTTTTTTCCTGGGTCTAGGCTTGCAATGTGAATTGTTGCCAGCAGGTGGCAGTGGTGTTCTTTAGGGCTTGCCACCCACCAGCACCCATGGTTTGCTAGAAATCCTGACTCTCAGGCTCCATCCAAACCTATAGAATCAGATCTGCATTTTTTAACAAGATCCCCAGGTGATTCCTGTGCACAGTAAAGTTTGAGAAGTACTCCTTAGGTGAGGTTTTCCTTCCAGATGTCAGCAGATTAGTTCAATATGCCTTTTAAAATAAAATATTTTTTTGAGTAACTGTTCCTTAGAGGAAGGACCAAAGGGGATTTTCTTTTTAAATGAATAAAGTACATGGATTTTGTAGCATCTATTTTGGTTCCTCACAGACAGTTTTCCCTCCTTATTTCCTACATCTTGAACTGTGTTCAGGATTGATGCGTTCATTTCATAGGGGGGATTTAAGAAGATAAGATGTTTCTCTGCTTAGTTCTTTTCAGTCGCTAACCTGATGGCTGATATCGGGGTCACTTTTGCTCCCCCTTTCCCAAAATGCATTAAATGACTGGTTCCAGTTCAGGGCATTTGCTTACTGAGACCTGGTGGCTTTCCCATATTGAGATGAAAACATACTCATCTGAAGATGACAACATCAATACTAATGGGTAGAACTGGGTTATAAAATGTTCCTCATGAGAGATTTATTACAGTCACAGAGGAGGACAGAGGCTGGAGGATGAAGAAGAAAAAGTAAGAAATAGTGGCTATGGGAATCAATCTACCAATTGTCTTAATTGTTTTGGTTTTCAACATGGTATAGATTAATATATTTTTATAGATTAATTTTTTTTATAGATTAATGCTTGTGTTGTTGTCCAATACATCAGGTCTACTCTGGATGCATATTAGAATCATGTACATATCAGAGCTGCTTATGCAGCTTCTGCAAATAGAGATGCCTGGGAATCACTGTGGGCAGTGCTTCTCAAGGGTTAACGTGAAAAAGAATCACCTGTAGATATCACTTATAGAATCTGTAGGTCTGGGGTGGGTCCTGAGACTCTATTTCTAACAAGCTCCCACGTGGTGCTGATGCTGCCAGTCCTCAGACCACACTTTGAGGAGCCAAAGAATCACCTGTAGATATCACTTATAGAATCTGTAGGTCTGGGGTGGGTCCTGAGACTCTGTATTTCTAACAAGCTCCCACTCGGTGCTGATGCTGCCAGTCCTCAGACCACACTTTGAGGAGCAAGGTCTAGGGAGAGTCTGATACAGTAGGTATGAGGCAGGAAGTAGCATCTTTAATTTAAGAAATGTCTTCAGGTGATTCTCATATGCTGCCAAATTGAGATTCTCAGCCCACTGGTGGCTGACTTGTGGTGACTTTCTAGGGGAATTTGCAAGTGCTTTCTTTTCATACCTTGAAGGACACTATACCATTCTTATTTTCCTCTATCTCTCTTGTCCCTCCTTTCTGATATCCTCAGGTGGCTTCTCCTCCATTTAAACCTGTGGTTCTTCAGGTTTAAGTCCTCTGTTTCTTCTTACTCTATTCTATGTCCCTAGGTCACATTTTCTGTTCTCAAAGCCCCTGTTTCAAATGATAGCTCATCACCTTCAAACTCTAAATTCTGACTGATCTGTTCCTTCTGAATGTCAGTCTGGATAGCCATCTCTGTGCTAGACCAAATGTCCCACAGCAGATGATGGACATAAACAGTCTCCCTGTCCCCAACTTGCTTCATCCCCAGTGTTTCTCACTGCAGCACTATTTACCCAGTAGCTCAAATCATCTTTAACTGCTCCCTCTCTCACATCTCCACCTCCAACCCTATAGGTTTGTCCTTCTCTATATCTCTTGAATCTGGCCATTTGCACTTCCCACTGCGAGCTCTGGCCACCATCATCCCCACTAGATCACTGCCCCCGCTGACCTGCCTGTCTCCTTTCATCCATCCTTGTCTCCCCGTTCCATCCCATTCTTCACCCTGTTGCCATAGTGATGTTTAAAAAGTCTGATCCTCCCTCCCTCACATACACAGACAGTTGAAATCCTTCAAAAGCTCCCCTTTCCTCTTAGAACAAAGTGACAGAAGAGAGGAGATAAACATATCCATGATAGGAGAGAAGCGGGTTTGGGTGGGAGTGAGTGGGTAGAGACGAGAGAGAGCAGATCAGATGTCAAAGCCACCAGAGGTTTCTAGTTGTCAATTAACTTACTTGGATCTCCCTGGGATACTGGCTCCAAAGACTGTGTGCTTAATTCTTCTTTTGGAACAAATCCTGGAAAAAGCAGTAAAACTTTTGGTGACTTACAAGCACAGGAAGCATCTGGCCTTAACCCAGGGAAGGGGACATAATGGATATTCACACCCAGCTTGGGGCTTGGCTTACTGTGCTCTCCTCCACACCACCCCATCCTGGGAAACATAAGAATAAATCAATATTTACTGATTCTGCTAAGTGCTCATGGGGTATTTGAAATCAGGAGACTTGAGTTCTTTTCCCATTAACTTATTCTATCTGAGCCTTAGTTTCTTTATCTAAAAGCATTAAACACTTTGCCAGTGGAAATTATCCCTCTGTAAAATTATAAAAATGTTAAGGACAAGCTATGTGTCTCACTCATCCTATAAGCCTTCACTGTGCCCAGCACATGTAGGTCCTCTGTCAACCCTCGGTGATTGACGCAATGGATAAAGATGAGTAAGACACGACAAGGAGGCCATCCAGTGAGAGTTGACTGTAGAAAAGCAGCTCAGCTAAGAGGGTCTGGAATGCACGGCTCCCCCGCTGGGACAGTGTCGGTGAGCCTGCAGCAGGGCCGGTAGTTCTAAAGAGCCATGCACCCGGGAGCCCAGGTCACAAATACACCGTTTAAGAAAATACAGACAATACATGCGAATCGTTTTAGACCTGGTCAGACAACGGCTTTCTCAGGCAGAACCAACTCGCAGGACCGGAAGTGAGTCTCCCGTTTTGAGGCTGCCCGGAAGTTCCGGAGTCCTGGGCGCTGGAGGGACGTTCGGGGGTCTCCGCTTGCTCTTGGCCGCAGCGAGTTTTCTACTGGCTTGTTATTTTTTCCAGTTTGCAAAGCACATTCTTTCATCTTCACGTGAGGCCAGCTAGCTCATCCCACTTCCTCACATCATGTTAACGATTCACTTTGGGTGTCTAACAGTATTTCTCAGCCAGGAGCCTCTCAGGGCAACGCCCCAAGGCCCCACGTCGCAGGTAGGGGACAGTGCAAGTCCACAGGCCGAGTACCTCCGTCTCCCCCACCAGTAAAGTCCTCCCTCGTACTAAGAGCTGGGAGGCCTTGTTTGTTGGAGTTTCAAGCATTTAATGCTGTGAACAGCGAACACGACCCACTCGTGTGAGGGGAAAACCCGAACACCGTTTTGCAAAGAAGGAAGGGGAAAGAGAGGAAGTCGAAGTGTGCTGCCCGACGGAGTGAGGGTCTCAACCCATTTTGGGGCTGGAGAATTAACTCCCTTCTGGCTTTTTCTCTTCACGTTTCCTTTCCCCTTTTTGTTATCCAGTGTTAAGTCTTACCCCAGGCCTCTCTAGGGAAGCTAAAAAGTGCCCTTCGCAGGACCCTAATTTAGAGGTGGAATCCTGTGCAGAGGCGGCTCCAGCTGAGCTCAGCCTCTTGTGCCACCAGCTGGATTACAGACTCTCCCAGTTTGTAATCCTATGCATCTTGATGTAGTCGTGGCCAGGAGGTTGAGCTGTATAATTACCTGCATCTAAAAGGACCGATCCGGGTCTCCACAAGTCCATTTCTCCTGATTTTCAAAGTTAAAAAGAAAAAAACTTGTTACTTAAACCAAACTAGTGGAAGTTCTCAAGGGAACTGCCAGGATGGGAAGGTTTCCCAGTTGTGGCAGAAAGTTCAGTAAAGAAGCATGGGACCAGAATTTTGGAGGAAGCAACCTGAATTTGGTGTGATTGTCGCATCTAAATCTCTTAAAGACAGAGGCATAAACATCTTTGCCTGTTACTTTCTTTCACTGTGCACTAAGAATCATGGAATAATAAGAATCCTGGATTCAAAATGACCCGAAAGTTCATATAGTCCAAACCACTTCCCAAACTGCCTGTACAACATTCCTGCCAACTGAGTGACTGGCTGGTGCTTGAATACCTCCAGGGACAGGGAACTCATTACATAGTCAACCAAAGTAGTGCATTTCTTCTTGAACTATTGAGACTGTGGGGAAAAAATTTCATTTCTATCTGAAATCTTTTGCCCTAAATCTTTCTCCATCCACCTATCTATCCATCCATCCACATTTATTAAGCATTCAGTATGTGCCTAATACCATTCTAGGAACATTTGTCCCACCTGTGTGTTTGAATTCTCTTCCTTGGAACTACTTAGAACAAATGTGGACTCTTCAGGGAGCAGGCAATCCACCCGTTTGCTGAGGTTCCACTTCTCATGGTGTGCCTTGAGCAGAGTGAAGCAAAGTGGCGCCTGGATTCTATGTGCAGTAAGACATTTAACGCCCTTCACCCCAAACTGGTGCTGATACAGTGGAAGAGGTGGTGAGGAGGGGGAGAGTCTTACTCATAATCCCTGATCTGTTTTGGGGAATCATGCTGTGAGGGGCTCAGAGGCAGCACAAACACATTAGGAAGCCTCATAAGGACACAAAAATTACTGTTTACTTTTCTCTCTCCCTCTCTTCCACATCCCTCCGTCCTTCTGTCCCTCTCTTAGCTCAGAAGGTTGACAGCAGGACCAACTGTTTTATTTCTTAAAGGCTATCAGCTTGGCTCCCAGCTGGAATTGTTAACACACTGAAAATAAGTGGTATTTTTCTTTATGTGATTAAGATGCCAGGCAATTTTGAAAAGCAATCTGTGCTCTTGCACATTCTGGTTTAATGGTGAGAACTGAGTTTAATCTAGTTCAGCCATTAACCAGGTGTGTGACTTTGGACAAGTCTTGTACCCTCTGTGAGCCTATGTTATTTCTTTGTAAATAACAGCAGATTGGGTGAGATGGTTTCCACGTTCAAAATATTTATGATTTATGTTTAAACATTCTGCTTCTTTAGCCTTATTACTCTATCGCCACCTACTGGTGAAGACAAGCACTTTGCTCTTCCCCCCAAAAACATGCTGGTGGCTTCTCAGTTTTTGTCCAAGCACTCTCGAATGTCATGAAGATTAGAATGCTGGGTGCTCTGTTTCTTCAGCAGGAAATAAAGAGTACCCTGGCATCAGGGATTTCCAAGCCTCTTCCTCCTTTCCTGGACGCCTGTCCTTCTATTAATGACACTTTAATTATTTGGGGTACAAGTTTGAACCAAACTACATTCATCCAAAAGCTAAAGGCTGAAAAATATTTGAACAGCTGAGACTTGGTGTTTTTTGGACTTGGTAGTAACGAGAAGTAAATTGTGAGAACATTTGTGTCCTGGCTTCAAGGAGGAATGGGGTGATATGGGGAAAAAAGAAGTCAGAAGACCCATCCTGTTCCTACTAGCTGGCGGCCTGGGGTCTCACCTCCCTTCTCTAGGGTTCATCTACAGTTTTCTCCTGTGAAAATCTGAGGTCATAAGCCCTGTCCTGCCTGCCTCACCTGGAGGAGACTCAGAGGAAGTAAATGTGTACAAAACCACCCTGGAAAGTATAAGTCACTCTTAGAAAGCAAGGAGTTATTTTTGTGACAATCCTTGCTTGGTCCTCTCATAGAAACAGTGAGGTCTAAGAGAAGTGTTGGTTCTGAATGATTTCCATGGTAAAAATGTAGAAGCCATTAACATTTATTAGCTTGGTCAGTGTCAGGCACTGACTAAGCACTTTACCAGTAATCGAGTCAGAATAACCCTGTGAGTGAGGAACAAGTCTGACCCTGTTTTTCAGGTGAAGGAACTGATGCACGGGGAGTGGCAGAGCTGAACTTTAAGCCCAGGCAGGAAGGCTCCAGGGCCTACACATGAGGAGGAGTCACTGTCACTTCAGAGTCTCAGGGCACTCGATTAGGCCACTGAAGAGCCAGGCCTGGCACAGCCACCTGTAACTCACCCTAATATAGCTAAGTCTTCAAAAGGGCCTGGAACCATCCCTGTTCCTAAGACTTCAGCCATGATCTTTGTACTGGTTACAGCTCCTTCCGTTCCCCTGTACATCTGCAAGTCACCAGCATGGGACCCAAGCGGGAGCTGCAATCCACAGCCCTTGGGGCTGGCTCTAAAGTTTTGCGGGAAAGAAGCCCAGGTGGCCCTTCGGCTCCCTGGTTTCTCCCTAGTGACTCCCCTGGCATGCAGTTTTCAGGAGGAAGTGGCAGTCTGAAAGGCAGCAGGCCTCCGGAGCTAGGGGAATCTCAGGGCTTTCCTTCCCTTCACCTGGCTTCATGTCCCAGGGGCTGCACATGTCCCCCAGAGGGCTTCCTCTTGCTGTATGAAATGGGAAGTACTGAGACAGCCGTGCCAGCAGCCCATCACATGGGGACTTTCAGAGAAGGCTGAGGACAGTCTGAGGTCCTGGCTATGAGCCGTCGCACTGGGGAAGCATTGACAGTCCCAGGTTTATAAGTGGGTAAACCTCCAAGGCTCAGTGTGGGATGTTTGTTTGGAACCTGGCACCTTTTCTCATAGAAATAACATTAACTCCACAGGTTATTTTTCCAGGTCGGTGAAGCTTATGTGACTCAAGCAGAACTCATGGTGCCATGAAGCCAACCAGCACAAGGATGTTTCTAAGGAAAAGTCACCTGGTTCTAACTTGAATTATCAGGAACCCTACACCCCCACCTTCCCCTGGGAATACAGCGGGAGGAGCCTGCCCTGACTCAGAGCGCCCTGGTAGGAGTGGAGGGGACTTGCATTGGGGGCCTGCTGTGCAGGAGGCAGGGCCAGGGCTGATGACCCTGGAGGGGGAGAGTGTGGAACCTGTGAAGGCAGAAGTTCCAGCAGCAGAATTCTAGAATCTGAAAATATTTGATTCATCTTTGCAGTTCTAACACATAGTACAGTGTCTGATATACAGGATGTGCAAAAATATTTTTTAAAATTAAATTACAGTTCCCTTACAGTGAGAATGGTGGCTTAAATGGGGGGAGGCAGTGAAGTTGCATTTTGTAGGCAGAAGGCATGTGGGAGAGGGTTGCAGCAGTCACTCCTGGGTCATAAATCTGGTGTCCTGTGGAGGAGGGGATGAAATATTGAGCCCGATGACAACATTATTAGGTCCATAGGTAGCTGTCTGTGTCTGCTAATGGTTCAATCTAAACACAGAAGAGGTGTTTATTGGGGCTCACAGGATTCCATCCCATGTGATGTATTTTTATCAGTGACTGGAATGATAGGTGGCATGTTTAACAATTTTGCAGATGACACAGAGATTGGAAGGATAGTTAACACGTTAGATGACAGAATTAAGACTCAGGAATGTTGTAACAGACTAAACTAAGGGAGGGTTTAATAGAGATATGTGGGATATTCCAAAACTCAATTGCACATAGAGAGGATTGAGGTGACCTGCTTCCTCTATAAAAGTACAAGAGAAAAAAACCTGGGCACTTTAGTTAGTGCCAGCTCAGTAGAAGATGAGCCAATGGTGAGACAGAGCTTCCCCCAAATAGAACTTGGGATGTTTTAGTGGAGTCAGAGTCTTTAGGATGAGAGTGGTGATTCCCTGGCACACAAGCCTTGTGGCATTGCGTTCTACTCTGGGTGCCTGTTCTATGAATCATTAACAGACTGTAGTGTAGGGTGTACTGCCAAGTTACGTAAGGACCTGTTGGAGGGACTAGAGAAATCTGTCCTGGAAAAGATGAGATGTAAGAGAGGACATGAAGTCTAGTTTCTTATATTTGAAAGGTCTCAAATTTGAGAGACTCTCAAAGAGTCTCAGCCTCTTTATGTTCTTAAAAATTATTGAAGACCCCGAATAGCTTCTGCTTGTGTGGGTTACAGCTATTACTTTTTATCATTTAGAAACTAAAACTGCATTCTTTCATTTGAAACATAACATTAACTAGCAACTTTTTTTTTTAACTATTAACTCATTTTAAAAAATAATAGGGCTATTATAGTTTAACATAAATGTCAATTTTTAATGAAAAATAATTGTTTTCTGAAACAAAAGAGTTCAGTGATAAGAGCAGCAAATTTCATCAGTCTGTCATAATAGAAGACAGCTGGAATCTGACATCAGCTCTTGCAATCTGTTGTGATATGTTGTTTTTGTTGAAGTATATAAAGATAATCTGTCCTCATGCAGACACGTAGTTAGGGATGGGAGGACCTCGTAGAATCCCTGAAATCAGGGTCCTCAGACCCCATTTCGAGAACCACTGGTTTAAATTAGGAGCGATGGGCTGAAGCTCTAGGTAGTTATGTCTGACAAAGCTGTGCTGCAAATGCAGAGGCTGGGAAATTCCCAACCACGTGAAGTTGTCCCATGTAGGGGAAAAGCCTCTGTCTGACACTGCATAAGAGATTCGTTTTTAGGAGATTGGACCAGCTGCACTTTATACAATTCTTTCCAATTCCATGATCCAATGATTTTATAGCTGAGGAAGTGGCGACACGCCTGATACAGAAGACTGTGTGTGAGGTGAGAACTGGCTGAAGACTATCTAAGAACCCTGAGTGTTCTTACCTGCCTTCACTCAGATGTGCGGATGGCTTCCTGTCCCTGCAGGAGCATTCTGGGGTTTCATGACTAGTCTAGCTCTGAGCACCTTCCTGCTGGGAGAGTCCTCCAAGGAAGGACATTTTGAGAGTTTCGTGGGAGGGTCTGAGGTGCTCAGAGCAAAGTTGCAGGGCTGATGGTGAAGAGGAGAGAAGCAGCAGAAATGGGGAGGATTTGAGGGTTAAAAGGGAGCTAAGAACATCTGTGTGGGTCAAGAAAACAATTTAATTATCGAGAGCATGAGGCAGAATGGAGAAGAAATAGACTCAGAGCTGCAGAAGTGCAGGATGATGAGGTTAGACAAGGGGAATGGACCAAATGCACTCAGCAGAATACAGCCTCGAAACAAACCTTGAAATAAGGAATCAGGACACTGGCCAGGACAAGGACTCCAAGGCCATCTTAGGCCTCCACGGGCCCATGGGACTGTTCAGGAGGCCAAGCCATGGGGCTCTCTCTCCTTAGGTTGTCAGGCAGTAAGAGATAAGAGATGGAGATCATTGCCAAGCACCCCCCCATGGTCTGATTCATGTGGAGTGTGTGGGTATTCGTGCTTTATCCCAGAGGCCAGTCCAGGGATGGGCAGGGTGAGTTGCACACGGTGCTTAGGTGGGGACTCTTTCAAGGGGACATGTAGTAATGAGAGCCCTTGGGCATCTGAGTTGACAGAGATTTTTTCTTTGACACAGTGAGAACAGATGAAGCAGAGACATTTTCTTGAGGTTAAAATGACTTGGAATGCCCCCAAACTCCAGTGACCTGGAGTTGAGCTGCAGAGGCCTGCGGTGCCTGTATGAGGAGGTCTGCATTTGCAAGTGCCACAGAGCAAATTCCAAGGGAGCAGGCCTGGTAAGCAGCGGGCAGCTTACCCAGACCGACATCTGCTCTGATAGGTTTCTGGAGGACAGCTTCTAAAGAATCCTGCCTTTAGATACTTCAGGGGATTACACAGGGTAGCTGATTTACATACAACCAGCAAATTGCTTTCTTCCCTTATTTTGTCCCCTGATGAAAGTGACCCTAGTTCAAATTTTCCTTGCAAGTCAGCTAAATTCTCTGTGGCTGGCCTTACTTTTGAGGGTTGCAGAGGAGGCAGAAATCCTGGCCAAGGAGACAAGGAGAGAGTGTGCCCTGTGGCTTGAGCTCCTGAATGGCCCTGTGGGCCCACTGAGGCCTAAGATGGCCTTAGAGTCTTTGCCCAGGCCGGTGTGCTGATTCTTTTTTTTTTTTTTTTCCTTTCTGTCTTTTTTCACTGACCGGCAACAGGATCGCAACCCTCGGTGTCGCGCCCGCACTGCGCTCAGCCAGTGAGCGGGAACCGGTCTCCACATGGGATCTGAACCCTCGGCGGGAGTGCCGCCGCGCTCTCAAGCGGCGCATGGGCCGGCCCAGTGCTGATTCTTAAGTTCCTTTCTGCAGGACAACAGAGTGTATGTTGGCAAAGAGGCAATCATGAAGCTCCTGGAAGCTGCTAGTTCTGTCCAGGGCAGCCCCCCATGGAACCCCTGCTCTGATCTCGTTTCAAAACAAAACAAAATGAAACAGAACCTACGATTTCTAGGAATCTTTTACCATGTGGAGGGCAAACAGGAATCCCGCAGCAGGAGGAAGACCTGAAGGCCTCTCCAGTGCAGGTCCTGGCCTCTGATCCTAGTGCCCACGGCTTCAAAGGGAATGGTAGCCTTCTGCCAAGCCTATCAGCTCATGGTGCAGGCCGCAAGCAGAGTTTGTGGAAAACATCGAACCTTGCTCAATTTTTCTTTCTAATCTCTGCAGGCCTCAGAGAAAAGAAGAGAATCTCTGTTGCAGAGAAGAGAATTAGCTGCATTCCCAGTTCTTGGACCAACCGTTAAGGAGCAGAATTGAGGAGAGGCAGGCTGGGGTGCCACGATTTGTGGGCAAGTTTCTATCCCTCAGGGTTATAGAAGTTCCTGAGCAAAGTCAGCTGTGCCCTTTCCTAGGAGAAGATAAAATTTTCCTCACTCTTTCACCCTAGAACCTCAAGCATAATCCCCAGGAGTATCCCTTTTCAGTTTTATAAGATCCTGGTTACTGAATTTTTAGGAATTTCTATCACAACCTCTACAAAATGGCTTCAAGGGAATGGAGATTGGGTAAAGGCTTTGCATATTTAATGTCTTCATACTTTCCTTACAAGTTTTCTTACAAGTTGGGCCCCTGAGTGGTATCTTTTGTTGGCCTAACTGGTTTAATGCTATTTGTCCAAATTTAAATCAAATGGCAAGTATTTGGAAATATGAACTTCTTGTAAACAAGCTTAACTTTCATCAGTAGCTAGGAAAAGAGTTCAAGTTCTTACCTGAATTGGCGCCCAGACTGTTTTGGCCACTTGTGTAGGTGGTGGTGGACCAGAGATCTGTAACAACATTTGACTGGTCAGAGCATGAATTTTAATTGAAATGTTCTCATTCTTTCCGTGATTGACCTAGCAAGACACTACTAAAGTCAGAACCAAGGTAAAGCTTTGTCCTTGGTTGGTCTGAACCTGCCTTGGAGGAGGCATTGAAATGGGGGGTAAAAAAAAAAAGGATTTAACTCAAAACACTGACTGAAAATTCCAGGTAATAATAACCCTTGTATTTCACAATTGTCAAAGTAAGTATTTTTTACTAAAGTGCCATATTTCTTTACACTTCATTATTCTTAAAATAATTCTCCTCAACTGTGCCGCTCATGGGGAGGTTAAAGTAGTCTTTCAATAGAAATGTCACTTAACATTTTAGCAATTTGCTTAAACTGCATTAACATGGTATTGATGCAAATAGCATTAGCTTTCAGTCATTTCTAGAGGTACACAATAGGTTATCCTTAATTACTCTGTGAGAGAATCAAATATGCTTCAGCATTCATTATTTATTGGACAATTCTCTGAAGCAAGGTTTTATAAGGGAGGAGGGAGATGGGAGATTCTGTAAAGAGAAACACAGCCCCTTCTGGGGGAAGAGGGCCATGTAAAAGCCAGCTGAAGGAAAGAACCAAGCTTCATGGAGGGGAAGACGTAAGAGGTCATGGAAAAATATCAATTTCTCTTAGAAGTGGATCTATCTGCAGTCAGTTTTTGACTCCTTTTGCCTTTGTTTCAATTATTTGACACAAACTCAAAGTAGGTTCATTTTTAAAAATTATGTACTGTGCATAGTAAGCAATCACCTTTTATCCTGTATCCAGCAGTTAGTGTGTGCAATTTTGGTATACAGAGTTGTATCTCTTTTTCTATGTACACGTTTTCATGTACAACACACAATTACAGAAATGAAACTGGTACCCATGTTGTTTTGTAGTCTGCTTCTCTGACTGAACCATCTGCCACAGGCCAATCTTCTCCTGTCGGTAAACACCCGTATTCATCAAAATGTTTGTAGGTGTCTAGTAACTTCTCTAACCATTCTTCTAATGGTGGACAATTAAATCATCTCCATTTATTTTTCTATTCTGATCAACATCTGTGTTCATGCTTCTTTTCACCCTTGGCTGACAATTACCTTGGGATATATTCCTGTAGGTGCAAATTCTGGGTCATTTCACCCTTTTTTTTTTTGCTCGAACTGTGTTTTATCAATTTCCAATGTGAATTGGTGAACAAGGACATTTTATTGTTTAATTTGCACTTATTTGATTCCTGGTGAAGTTCAACATCTTTTAAAAAATATTTGTTGGACATTCTTCTACTGTGGCTTGGCTGGTCATTTTTCTTCTGGATTATTTGTCTTTTTCTTACTATTTGTAGGACTGGATTTTTAGGAAAAAACCTTCTCCAGAAATCTTAAGGAAGTATAAACTTTAACATGTGAGAGAAATGTTGGTGAGAAGGGAAATGACATGGGGAAAGAGTAGGCAGTGATAGATACGGCCTCTCTTCCTGTCCCAAGTTTCACTCCCCCCACCCCCTCAGCTGCCCTGGGTCCGACAGTGGAACAAAGAGTGGAAAGGTGACTGATGGCAGCCATTGCCAGGCCTTGCCGCTAGGCGGTGCTCTTCTTCCCTGCCCGGTCTACCTGGGGTTGTGGTGGGCACATTCAATGCTAGCTCAGCTGAGGCAGCCAGGGCACTTCTTGAAATGAACCTGACTAGGAAAATAACGGTGGGTGCAGCTGCTCCACTTTCCAAGCCTGTGGTAGATCCAGCTGACCCTATCTATAGCTGGGCCTGGAGGGCTTCTCTGTCTTTTCCAAAACTCTTTCTTAAGCACATCTATGGATCTGGCACTCCAGACTGCTCCCTCTGGCTCCGGGATGCAGCCTCTACAGCTGCCTGGTTCCTGGAGGTGCCACTGTGGTCCTTGGCCTTGCCCATAAAGAACAGCCTAGCCTCACTCCTGCCCCTGTGAGAAGTCTCTATTGCTCTGGATCTTGCTCCCGTACCCCCAGCCTTGACTTGTGCCTTTCCATCCTGTTTGGTTTGCACATTCATAGGTCAGTGATGGGGCTGTGATGTGGCCTTTGTGTGCCACCCAATCCTTCTTGTATCCTTCCACCTGCATCAGCTCCTCTGCGTGGTCTGGGAGAGCTTGCATCTTTTCCTGTTACCAAGATTCTGCTCTTCATGGACTCCCTGCAAGTTCCTATGTCCTGTCTGAGAGGCAGCTCTTTGCCTCATTATTGAGCAAAGATGATTCATGGACCCCAAATGCAGGCATCTCCTGTCTGGCTACACACCTCTCAGCTTAGGCTGAAGTGACCTGCTGAGGGTATCTTGGTGGGATGTGTTCACTGATGATGGAGTTTGGATGTGTTGTCCCCTCTAAAACTCATGTGGAAATTTGATCCCCAATGTGGCAGTGCTGGAAACTCATTGAGTCATGGGGGCGGATCCCTCATGAATGGATTAATGCTCTCCCTGGGGGCGGGGGGAGTAATTAGTGAGTTCTCACTCTATTACTGAGAGCTGATTGTTTAAAGGACACTGGCATCTTCTCTCTCTGTTTCTTGCTTCCTCTCACCATGTGATCTGCTTGTACCCGCTGGCTGCCTGCCACTTTCCACCATGAGTAGAAGTAGCCTGAGGCCGGTGCTAGATGCAGCTGTCCCAGAATTGTAAGCCAAGTAAACTTCTCTTCCTTATAAATTACCCAGTTTCAGGTATTTCTATTATAGCAACACAAAATGGACTAATATAACTGATGTAGCCCAGGGTGCCAGAACAGTGCCTGACACATAGTAAGCATCCAGCAAATATTTGATGAATGAATATAAAGGCACTTCCAAAAGTTCTTGGAAAAATAGAATTGAAAGATAATACTAATCTTTCCATGAACTTTTAAGAGTACCCT